CTAACGATAGAAATACTTGTTTGACTTTCACGAGTGAACCTGTCGAGAACATGGTCTTCAGAACTGTCAAATTATTCATCCTAGAGTGTGATATGTGCAAAGATGTCACCACACACACAAAAGATGTTTAGTATACTTTACATTGAAAACACAGTCGTGTCTTGTCATTGTCTTTTATTATCCTTGGATCATCAAAGCTGAAAAAGCCTTTATGTAAATAAAATCAGAAGCGAGATCGGCAGATTGGAAAATCCTCCTAAATAGGACAAGTTGCTAGAAGAGTAGGTGCTATGCATATCCCCTTGTATGTATAGCAAGTAGAGAGAGTGTGTGTGAGTGTGTGTGTGTGTGTGTGTGTGTGTGTGTGTGTGTGTGTGTGAATTCCAAATAAGCCTGATAGAACATATCTATTGTACACTGTCTCTGTTATCTTTCTTGTTTCCTCATCCCATTATTTTCATTGTAGAAAAATGTGAAAGGTGTCTTTTTGCTTGCAGCTGGCATACTGGCGTATTGGCGTTGGTATACTATATTAACCAAAGGACATTTGGTAAGTGGATGTTGAGTTAGAGAATATTTGTGTATGTTGTAAAGACAGTTTAACCTGCATTTCTTCCACTGTAGCCCACAGCATGTATTATCGACATCCACACTGATGTTACAAACCTGTATACATCTTCCTCCACTCACAAGCATTTACCACCCGAATCAAAGAATTACTATCTTATAAAGTTTTTCAAAGAAGCCTAACAGTACATCTAGCTTCGCAGCAAAGACACAGGTACGCTTGACAGGACAAAATACTCTTTTCTACTTGCAATGGCAGCTTTAATAGCAATCTTGAATATGTGACAATAATTGGTATTTCTTTCAGTAAACATCTAGGTCTATGATACTTTTGAAATTGGATTCAAACAGTGTTTTTTATTATTAGTGAAGTACAGTGTTCTTTTGTTTGCATTCTTGCAACAGTTGATCTGAACATTATGTAGAATTGTTGGTGCTAGTGTATATATCATGATATGTTACGAAGACATTTCTGTTACAAAATGTTACGAAAACATTTCATTTGATTTGATAGTTCTTGGAATTTAAAAAATCTTAGGTATCCTATGATAGCCCAAAATGTCAAACTTGACAACAATGAATTTTGAAGTTTTAATCATGCAAACCAAATTTTGCATTGTTAGACGGAAAAAACTGCAACAGCTAGGAAGACACGGNCACAGTGAACCATGTAACACCTAGCTCCAGTGCACAGTGAACCAGTAACACCTACAATGTAGCTTCAGTGCACAGTGAACCATGTAACACCTAGCCCCAGTGCACAGTAAACCATGTAACACCTAGCCCCAATGCACAGTGAACCATGTAACACCTAGCTCCAGTGCACAGTGAACCAGTAACACCTACAATGTAGCTTCAATGCACAGTGAACCATGTAACACCTAGCCCCAGTGCACAGTGAACCATGTAACACCTAGCTCCAGTGCACAGTGAACCAGTATCACCTAGCCCCAGTGCACAGTGAACCAGTAACACCTAGCCCCAGTGCACAGTGAACCAGTAACACCTAGCTTCAATGCACAGTAAACCACGTAACACCTAGCTCCAGTGCACAGTGAACCATGTAACACCTAGCTCCAGTGCAGAGTGAACCAGTAACACCTAGCCCCAGTGCACAGTGAACCAGTAACACCTACAATGTAGCTTCAGTGCACAGTGAACCATGTAACACCTAGCTTCAGTGCATAGTAAACCACGTAACACCTAGCTCCAGTGCGCAGTGAACCATGTAACACCTAGCTTCAGTGCACAGTAAATCAAGTAACACCTAGCCCCAGCGCACAGTGAACCAGTAACACCCAGCTAAAGTGCAGAGTGAACCAGTAACACCTAGCTCTAGTGCACAGTGAACAAGTAACATCTAGCTTCAGTGCACAGTGAACTATGTAACACCTAGCTCTAGTGCACAGTGAACCAGTAACACCTAGCTCCAGTGCATAGTGAACCATGTAACACCTAGCTCCAGTGCACAGTGAACCAGTAACACCTAGCTCCAGTGCACAGTGAACCAGTAACATCTACCTTCAGTGCACAGTGAACCATGTAACACCCAGCTCTAGTGCACAGTGAACCAGTAACACCTAGCTCCAGTGAACCAGTAACACCTAGCTCCAGTGCACAGTGAACCAGTAACACATAGACGCAGTGAACCAGTAACACCTAGCTTCACTGCACAGTGAACCAGTAACACCTAGCTCCAGTGCACAGTGAACCATGTAACACCTAGCTTCAGTGCACAGTGAACCAGTATCTCCTAGCTCCAGTGCACAGTGAACCATGTAACACCTAGCTTCAGTGCACAGTGAACCAGTATCACCTAGCTCCAGTGCACAGCGAACCATGTAACACCTAGTTTCAGTGCACAGTGAACCATGTAACACCTAGCTTCAGTGCACAGTGAACCATGTAACACCTAGCTCCAGTGCACTGTGAACCATGTAACACCTAGCTCCAGTTCACAGTGAACCAGTAACACCTAGCTTTAGTTCACAGTGAACCATGTAACACCTAGCTCCAGTGCACAGTGAACCATGTAACACCTAGCTCCAGTGCACAGTGAACCAGTGACACCTAGCTCCAGCGCACAGTGAACCATTTAACACCTAGCTCAAATACACAGTGAACCATGTAACACCTAGCTCCAGTGCACAGTGAACCAGTAACACCTAGCTCCAGTGCACAATGAACCATGTAACACCTAGCTCCAGTGCACAGTGAACCATGTAACACCTAGCTCCAGTGTACAGAAAACCAGTCATATTAGCCCTGATGAAGGTGACAGACGATCATCGCAACGTCGGCTCATGTAAAACAAAGGGTTTTAAATAAGGCCACACCAAGTAAATTTTATGGATTACGTCCGCGCGCGCATTGATTTTGGCCTGTTCCTAGAAAAAAAAAAAACAAGGAATTCCGCTTTCTGTAACTATGACCAAAGACTCACGACAGTGCCGCAAATCGTCAGATTGACGTGAAACCCGTAACACGAAAACAGGACAGGACGACAACTGCTGTTCCACCTGATTTATTGCTGTTTTGATGATGAACAAAAGACTTCTTGATTGTTACACTGTGTCACCTCGAGCTCATTCAATTTGTGTCCTAACGTTTGTCGTCTCTTAGTATATTTCTGATCTAGGCCTCTTGTTTTTAGGGCCCCTTTTTTCGCCCTCTCGCATTAGATTTAGGGTCTCCAAAGGACGTCATCCATAAAATTTACTTGGTGTGGCCTTGAAGAACTTAACTATCCAACAATTTACCAACCTTATCTAAGGAGGTACACATGGTGTTTCAGAGTTCGCCTTCTACTGATTTTACTGAATTTTCTGTCTTCACAGTTGGGTTCTGCTAACCTTATATATTCTTTATTATCACCCGAAGGAAGAAGTTCCCATATCTAATGAACACTACTGTGACGCTGTCGATAAAAAGCAAACTGGCTTATTTTTTATTACAACCTGAAGGCAAGAAACCGTCAAGTATTATAACTAACCGTTCTGCCAAGTATCAGAACTTAGGCCATTTTCAGTATATGGATGACATCCGCGCGACCTGTGCTATAGATACAACAATTTCAAAGTTGTTTCAGTGACAGATGCATGTTGTAATAGTTGTTAGTAAACACTTCACAATATACTTCTTACATCATTAAATATATGGCATGCATGTTGAATACATCAGAATGGGCAGCATTGGGCATTTATTGGTTTATGAGGCAGGTCTTGCGCACTATCCTAGAGTTGAAATTCCGGGTAGTTTTGGGTCTGGGTAGGTTGTGTTGTTAAATACAGAATCCAGGCTGATCTATAAGACCTGTTGGTTTTTTTGTATCTTTTTATTCCAACATGTAATCACCAGACGTGGTGACGGCACACTCAAGTTTTTTCAACTTATATTAATGCCGCAACCAACACAGGACAAATACATGACGGGACAATCCTCCTAAAAAATCCTCCTAAATAGGACAAGTTGCTAGAAGAGTAGGTGCTATGCATATTCCCTTGTATCTATAGCAAGTAGAGAGAGTGTGTGTGAGTGTGTGTGTGTGTGTGTGTGTGTGTGTGTGTGTGAATTCCAAATAACCCTGATAGAACATATCTATTGTACACTGTCTCTGTCATCTTTCTTGTTTCCTCATCCCATTATTTTCATTGTAGAAAAATGTGAAAGGTGTCGTTTTGCTTGCAGCTGACATACTGGCTTATTGGCGTTGGTATACTATATTAACCTAAGGACATTTGGTGAGTGGATGTTGAGTTAGAGAATATTTGTGTATGTTGTAAAGACAGTTTAACCAGCATTTCTTCCACTGTAGCCCACAGCATGTATTATCGACATCCACACTGATGTTACAAACCTGTATACATCTTCCTCCACTCACAAGCATTTACCACCCGAATCAAAGAATTACTATCTTATAAAGTTTTTCAAAGAAGCCTAACAGTACATCTAGCTTCGCAGCAAAGACACAGGTACGCTTGACAGGACAAAATACTCTTTTCTACTTGCAATGGCAGCTTTAATAGCAATCTTGAATATGTGACAATAATTGGTATTTCTTTCAGTAAACATCTAGGTCTATGATACTTTTGAAATTGGATTCAAACAGTGTTTTTTTATTATTAGTGAAGTACAGTGTTCTTTTGTTTGCATTCTTGCAACAGTTGATCTGAACATTATGTAGAATTGTTGGTGCTAGTGTATATATCATGATATGTTACAAAAACATTTCTGTTACGAAATGTTACGAAAACATTTCATTTGATTTGATAGTTCTTAGAATTTGAAAAAAAAATTAAAAAATCTTAGGTATCCTATGATAGCCCAAAATGTCAAACTTGACAACAATGAATTTTGAAGTTTTAATCATGCAAACCAAATGTTGCATTGTTAGACGGAAAAAACTGCAACAGCTAGGAAGACACGGACTTTGCTCAACTGTTGGCGTCAAAATAAAAACATGTAGTTTGGAGGTGATTCATATATTTAATATTTTTTGGCAAATCAGAAAAATATGAAGGGGGCAAATCCGACAACCAATTGATTAAATTAATGTGGCCTAACCATTCATGAAACTTGCAAAGTTGTGCATACAAAATGTGGTCTTCGGTGGCAAAGTGTACCTTAAAGTTAAGAATGTTATTGTCAAATTTATCGTTAGATAGTTGAGTATATTAGATATTTTTTTCACACAGTATAGTACAGACAATCAATGTTCTGGGGATGGCTAAGACCAGTGAAGTAAGGAGTTGTGGGGCTTGGCAGTAGTAATGAAGAAGTAAGAAATAAACAAGGAATCCTACAAAATGGTTTTATCATTTCATAATAACCCGGAAACAGTCAAAAGTAGACAGACTGTGTACTACGTCTGGAAAGTAGAAGCAATAGAGATGATTGTCATTTTGTATTACTGCTGGATTATTATAAGTATTGTTTACAGCTACGGTAACTAGTACAAGAAAAGCGGAGATTCTTGATTTTCATGAGTTCTATCTATTCTTTATCATTTCTTATGTTGCCTTGGTCCTATCTGTTGTTGGACGCGTCTTGCTAAGCGGTTATCCTGTAGATCGGTCTTGGTCGGTCTTTGGTCATCCATTTCAACGTCATCTGTCGCCAGTTGTCATTCTCCATGGAGCTCCTACAAAATTTAAAAAAAAAAGAATAAAAGAATAAATGCTTTGAATTAAATCAAATTACTTCAAACCACATCGGACTTATAAACAGCTTAGTGAAGATATATGCACGCACTCAGTAACTTGACGGTTTCAGAATCTGTCAGAGAGTGTGTAGGAGAAAAATTGTCGTTTGAGTTTCGTTTGTGCCCTCCCAAATATTAGTTAGCTGTGCACCTACAAGTGCAAACACAATACACTTCCAAGCTTGTGAGAGGAGAAAAAAATCATATATATATTTCTTGCTTGAATATAGTACAGTTGATCGATCTTTCCCAACTAGCAGTTCAAAACTAAATTTGATGCACAGATTTCAAACTAGCCAGCATCCTTCTGTTCTGTCATTTGACGGAATTTGACGACCATAACTGACATAAACAATCTGTCATCTTTGACGGACAAAATGGGCGTGTAAAGATGTGGAAAGAGATGTCATTAAACTAAGCTTTGTCTAGCAACAAATTGTACCCCCAAATTGCATGGAATGGAGTTTCAAGAGGGCAAATTTCAGAATTTTTCCGGCATAGCATGCCCGGCCCCTTATACGATCGTCGCTCCACGGTCGACATGATGTTACACCAAACAAAACTGAGACGGCAGGGAAAATTTCAGGCTGACTAGAACACTGATACCGATAGATATTTCCAATGGAGATAGGTGAAGATTAGCCTGTGTGCCATCCGTTTTGTAACGGGACTCCTTGCACTGGCTACCCACTTTTTCGGGGGTAACGAGTTGCAAGGAATCCCATTAAAAACGGATGGTACCCAGGTTAGGTAAAGATCATTACGCCGTACCCTTAGCTCGTTGGCAGCATTGCGCAGGTCTTTCTCCAGCATCTTCAAGGTCTCCATCAGCACATCTTCATCGATGTTCTCGGCAACCTCCTCCTGGCCACGCCCCTCCTGGCCTCCTTCCTCCTGGCCACGCCCCTCCATGGTCTCATCAGGCTGCTGGACAGACAGCGGTTCGTCAACCCCTCGTTTCCCGGAAGCGTCACTGGCTGTTATGAACAGACATATACAAATTGAGTGGTCGGCACAAAGAAAAAACAGCCAGGAGGTATCCAATACGTACCAGGACGCCTAAAACACGTCAAAAATAAGGCGAAGCTTAAACCTCTGATTGAACAGTACGCCAGTCTTTGGTTCACCGACGTATAACTGTACTTTGCTGCTGAATGGAGTATTGCGAACCAGACCTGTACTGTACCTGTCCCCGACCGAGTTATACCAAAGCCTTTAAAAGTGGTACATGCACTGCTACCTCTGCTTAGCACTCGGCGCTTGAGAAGAGTATCGGAGTTAAACACACACCACTAACAATGGACTAGCCACTACTGTGTGACCCAAGGGATAAACAGATCGAGATGGACGCTGTCACAAATTTCCCTCTCGTAAACGGTCGATGCCTTCGATGCCATATTGCTGACTGGTCGATGCCATATCCGAGTGTATCATAACTTTTTTTGAGGTTCAAAAAACGTATCAAACGTAATATATACCATAAAAAGCAACATTCCAATTGCAAATATAAGGGAGGTTCATAAAAAATAGTTAATGTATTAGTATAAAAGAAAAGCACAGGCTCGGATTCGAACCCGAATCAAAAAAGCGTAGCTCTAAAATCCTAACCTATACCCTCAATAACCCTTGACGGCACGAAACATCACGGTGTGGATGGACCGTGCAGGCACTGCAATTTGCCGTTCTGTGATATGGCATCTACAGTTTCACTGACCGTTTACGAGACGGACATTAGCGGAGCCGCCACTGACAAGCGACCATGCCAGTGGTTGTTTGAATCCATGGAGGACTCAAACTAACTTTAATCTGACTTACCGATGAATTTGACCCTGAAGCCACGTTCGCTGACAGAGTGATCGGTTCTGAAGACGATCCTCAGCTGTTTGTCCGCGCTGCGGACGGGTGCAGGCAGAGTCGACCCCGAGAACTTCCCCAGCTCCCTGTCGGTGCAGGGGTCTTCCACAGTCACCGTGTCGGAGGTGCTCTGAAGGTCGAAATCCTCGAAGATCAGAGTCAAGACCTTCCCTGGTCGAGCCATGATGTTCCAGCTGCAAAATGGCATACATGCAACCGAAAATAGTTTCATCTGGTCGGTAAAGTCTAGGATACAGGAGTTTTCTTTTACACTTGTTAACCGTACCAATTTTCTCACCTAGAGGGCTGACGTTTCGGTGTCTATCAGACACCTTCCTCAGAGCTTCTGAACTCAGAAGCAGAACTCCAACCAGGAGGTCTGAGGAAGGTGTCTGATAGACACCGAAAGGTCAGCACTCTAGGTGAGAAACTTGGTTGTGTAAAAGAAAACTCCTGTATGGCATACATTCAAGTTACGTCGTTGTAATCCGTTTCATGGCTTAGGCCATGTTGATTTGATTACAAGGATGACATCCACGCGAGCACGAATTATTGTGTATTTCCAAGAAAAAAAAAAACAAGCATTCGACCATACTGTAAATCGTGCAAAGCAGCTGGAAAATGAGCAAGTATATGCCGTAAACTGCCAAAAAAATTGAAAAACGATACTAATATAGTAGAATGCCAAAATAAATTCCAAAGGCAAAGAAGAAAATGTGAAGAAATGAAAACGAATAGTCTATTATTCGCCATCCCATACTCGTGTGTTTATTACTAATTAGTCATTTGTTCAAACCTTCATGACCACGTAGATTTCATAATTAAGGCAACTTTTTTTGTCATACTTTCTTTATTGCACGCTGGCATCAGTTTTGGGGTTCCCAGACGATGTCATCCATATAATGATAAAAATAACCAAATCAACATGGCCTTAGCAGATATGGATAAAACCTCAAATGGACAGAGGGGTGTCAAGCAGTCTGTGTAACAAGTTGCTGTGGCATGTTAGTAAGAATCATTATGTAACATTTTACATACCTGCATTTCTGATTATCTGCGTATGTATCTGGGTAGCCCGGTGAGACGATGGTTCCATACTCCGTTTGGATGTTTCCACCGCAGGAATCAACAACTGATCACGAAACAAAAGATCCGATTAACAAAACTACCTTCTAAAGAGTGGTGTTTTATAGCCATAACAACAATATACTTCCTTTGACATAAACAACGCCACTGACAACAACCGATATATTCTCTACCCTTCTTTTGTCATTTGTTAACAATTGTAAAATCGTTGATGTGGTTTTGCCCCATTTGTTATGATTTGTACACCAGCGTATTTTGCACTTCATTGTTTTTTCTTTGTTGTTTGTACCTTTTTTTTTCTTACTTTGTCTGTATGTGTGGATATAGGAGGCCTCAATAAGTAATGTGTATTTTTTGCACTATCCTCGAAAAAATAGATGCGAGTAAAATTAGTAACAGATACCAAATACAGTTACATGCTATTTGAAAACACATTAGTACCATCTAACACTTCTGACTCGTGGCTTCTGTTCCAAAATCTTATATCCTGTCAGCATCTTCCTGGCCTCTACTAGGCTTCGGAAAGCGGCTGGAGAGAGTAGAATTTGGCCAAATAAAGAGATAACATGCCAGGAAAGTTGGTCCGCTAGAAAATGCAGTGCGGGTGCGGCAAACTGTACCCTCTAGCGGACCAACTCCCTTGACATGTTATCTCTCTATTTGGCCAAATTCTACTCTTTCCAGCCGCTTGCCGAAGCATAGTAGAGGCTATCACGTCATTTAAATGGTAAACTTACTTGGTAATTGGATCTGGCAGATGAACTTCTGTTTTGTCGCGCAGTCTTGATCGTTCCACTTGTTCCTGGGGCTTTCGAACAGCATCAAGCAGTCTTCATTCCCGCCAGCCTGGTTCGGTTCACCCGGGAACCAGGCGCGGAAGCTCCCGAAGGGTTTGCCGTTCCGGTACAACCATGTGCCCTCGTCATTCTTGTCATCCGCCCCGAGCCAGAACCACGAGTTGCCGTCCTTATCGTTCTTCAGCTTGATCAGGAAGTTGTTGGTAGTCTGGTCACGGGGCATCGCCAGGGACCCTCCTTCAGCCCGGCAAGCCATCTCAGCCTCGTAGTAATTCTCCTTCTTGTCGAAGGCCTTGTAGCAGATTGCACCCCTCTGTTTGTAGCCTCTAGGACAGCCTACAGAAAATGATGAAGGTAAGGTCGACGTGTTGAGTTGATTATATGGATGACATCCGCAAGCATGAATTTTCGTCTATTTTAAAAAAGCTTTCGACCTTACTGTAAGTCATACAAAGCAGCTGCAAAATGACCAAATATATGACGTAAATTGAAAAGAAAATTGGAAAACGATACCAATGTTATAGAATGCCAACATCAATTCCAAAAGAAAATAAGAAAATGTGAAGAAATGAAAATGAAGAGTTTAGTAATTTGTTCAACCTTCTTGATCAGATTGACGTACAGTTCATAATGAAGGCAACTTCTTTTGCCAGTTTTTTTTTTCATTCGCACGCTCGCCTCAGTTTGGGGGTTCCCAGAGGATGTCATCCATCCATCTAATCAAATCAACATGACCTAACTGACCATGAACATAATAGGAATGCTCCAGCAAATGCAGAAAACCTATTCAGAGGTATTGGCTGAAGGACATGCTGATTTGTAATCTACAGACAAGAACAAACGACTCTTATGCTTAGGTCACAATTCAAGAAAGGGGCCCGCTCGGCGCGTGTTCGTCGTGTTTTTTGGCACTACCGAACGGGACCTGGACGGAGACCGGCGGGCTTCCCGACGGCTGCCGGCCTATTTTTGGCCCCGCACGGTCGCCGAATCGATTTTAACTCAGAGTTAAAATCACTTCGGGCCCCGTTCGGCGAAATACGCCGAAGCGACGCCGTAAGCTCACTGCCCGGAACCCGTCGGGCGGCCGAACAGGCACCTGCCTAAGATTATGACGTCACATGTGCTGATGAGTGCATAAGGTGGTAAGAAAAATGGGGTTATATGGGACATATGTAAACTCCTTGTTCAGACTACGTCGCACAGTTCAACACGCGTGTGTTACACCGTATACTTGTGTGTCAGAATGCCGATGGGCAGTGGAAAACAGCCGAGACGATAGCCCGGCATACATGTACTTCAGAACAGTGATATTGTGTTGCATGNTTAACTCAGAGTTAAAATCACTTCGGGCCCCGTTCGGCGAAATACGCCGAAGCGACGCCGTAAGCTCACTGCCCGGAACCCGTCGGGCGGCCGAACAGGCACCTGCCTAAGATTATGACGTCACATGTGCTGATGAGTGCATAAGGTGGTAAGAAAAATGGGGTTATATGGGACATATGTAAACTCCTTGTTCAGACTACGTCGCACAGTTCAACACGCGTGTGTTACACCGTATACTTGTGTGTCAGAATGCCGATGGGCAGTGGAAAACAGCCGAGACGATAGCCCGGCATACATGTACTTCAGAACAGTGATATTGTGTTGCATGTGGGCTACCCTTAAGGGAAACTCCAAGGATCGGTAGCTGTTCCAGGTCGCCAGGAAACGTAGGGTAATGGCGGGTTTGAGGCCTGCTGGCAAGGGCTGTCTGGCACTGGATAGAATTAAACGGAAGTGTTACATACAGACTGGACTGTAATATCTAAATTTGCTGTTATTGTAAAACATTATGGATACATTGAAATGTGTAAAGAAGTAGAGGGCATTCATCAAAAAAGCACTTGCTCCGGACTTTCCTCGATGGATGGGCCTACACGTTGTAGGGGGTCGTGAAACATCTATTTAAAGTCGCAAAGATGGCAGGCAGTGTAGCGCTTATATATATATATACCGGCTTACAAACACGACGGGATCCCGCCAGGGACGCGCCAGGATCCTCCCTGGACCCCGCCAGGGACCTGACAGCTACCCGGCCGAACTGTAAGAGCCGGTCGGAACCCTACCGCAAGCCGCACGGGTCAAGACGGGAGACTGATCGGGAACCGGACGGGTCCCTGACAGAAACCGGCCGCCAAGGGGACCAAAAGTTTATGAATATAAATTAGAAGCCGCCGGCCGGAGCACAACCAGGCCCCGACAGGAAGCCGTAAAGGAACATTTAATTGTGACCCTGACAGTCAGCGCACGCTTGGCGTCATGACGCCGGCCGGCGTCTACACCGAGGACATGCCGAACGGGCGCCGTTTCAAATGTGACCTAAGCTTTACGAAACGTACCTTTCGGAACGACCTGGCAGATAAACTTCCTGGTACGAGCTGTACATGGCCCATCGTTCCACTTGTTCCTCTTGTTTTTCGGGTGACTTCCAGGGAGGTACTCGGCACAGTCCTCGTTTCTCCGGTTATTCGGTTCTCCCGGACCCCACGTGCGGAAAGTTGATAGGGCGACACCGCTTCCCCACATCCAGCCTCCTTCCTCGTGTTCATCCGTCAGTCCGAAGCGGAACCATGCTCGGTTGTCCACGGCGTTCTTGAGGTAGATGATGAACGTGTTAACGGCGGCGTCTTTAGGTTCGGCAAGTGAACCGCCATCTGCACGGCAGGTCTCAACCGCTCCGTCGTAGTCTTTCTTGACGTTGTAAACTTTGTAGCTCATATGGCTCAGTTGATGGTACACGTAGCCTTGTGGGGAATCTGTATCAAAGGCATGCAATGCAATTTAAGGGTGGCAAAACAAAAAAATAGTCTCATGAAAGTTCATCTGCGTTGGTAGTTATCATAGTAAAATGTTGAGCTTTGTTTCAACACAATGGGTACACAGAGATCACATTTTCAACGACCACTGTCGCCTTCATCGGGATAATTAATGACCAATCACTTCCTAATCGTTGAAAACTGCATCTCTGTGTACTTGTTGTGTTGGAACAAAGTCCAAAGTTTACTAAGGAAATACTCTGCATGAGGAAATCTGTCTGATGTTAACATTAACTGCCATTTCTTACCACATGTTCATCATCATTTCATACTTGAAGCATTTGAAATAATCCAAAAACAAGCTACGTGAGGCGTCCCTTTATTTTTCTATTACCGCCCATAAATAGTTAGAACCAGCCTTCAATGTAGGAGAAGCAACATTTTCCGGTTAGCGACATCACATTTTTGCCTCGCAAAATGGCACACATGAAACATGCTATGGGATAGAATCGATTCAACTTACAACATCAAAAGAATGACAGAAAGATTGACGTTGAAACTTAAATTTTGCAGCCCTGAAATTGCATTGGATGCCTTAAATGAGAGAAGGGTAGTAGGGGGAGTAGCCATGTTACCGAAAACACCTCATTTTAAATGCACTGATGGAAACGTTATGCCATTTTCAGCCTGCTCTAGATCCAAATTCCTAGTCATTTGAATCGAAAGGGTGCCTGTCTGGCTGACAGTGTACCTGTTGGAATCACTTGGCAGATGAATTTCCTGTTCCTTGCGTTGCCGCCCGCGTCGTTCCATTTGTTAGGGAAGTACTCGGCAAAGTCCTCGTCGCCCTTGTTGTTCGGCTCACCCGGTTTCCAATCGCTGTGGCCCCTGACGAGGTTCCCTCCGTCTACCCACTGCCATTCGTTCTCCGTGTGCTGATCCACGAGACCGAACCAGAAGAAGCCGGCCGGGTCTACCTTGTCCTTCAGGGTCTTGATGAAGGCGTTGGTGGCAGCATCCTTGGGCATGGCGAGTGTGCCGCCGTCGTCATAACAAGCCTTGGACGCCTGAAGGAAGGTCTTTACCGTGTTGAACGCCTTGTAGCAGATCCCATTGAATTCCTTGTAACCACTGGGACAAACTGCAAAGAAAAGAAAAATACATTTCTGTACATCGTTTAATGCTATGAGAACCACAAGAAATTGTTACTCAAGCAACAGGATATGTTTTCAAAACGTTTCATGTAGAATCCACTGCTTTTCGTCAGTGACTGGATACACAAGAAATTGTTACTCAACCTCCCATTATTTTTATTGATACACAAGAAATTTGTTACGAAAGCAACTGGCTATAGGTGTTGAAAACTGTCAGGCGTTTCAAGTAGCATGATCAAGTACATGAAACGCATGACAGTTTTAAAAACCTCGCTTGAGTGACAATTTCATGTCCAGCTTCTTTACATGTTGAAATAAAAGTATTAGAAATTACTCTTTAATGGCTCAAATTCCTTTAGCTGATTTTTATTCAATATATAAAGCAAACATGAAACTGCAGGTGAAATAAGTTGACTGTAACTAGACTCTAGCTATAGGGTTCGGTGACCTGCTGAATAAAAGTTCTGAACGGAAACTATGCAGCTCAAGATGTGTTACTGAGGGACGGCTATACAGTGTGCTGGATGTCGGTTAACTTGGAAAGGGATCCGCTCTACTGTATATTAGACTCTGGCATTTGATGATAAAAAGGGTGGACTTTTGGTACGTAAAAAGATGCTGGTATGTCTTTAGCATGCCTAAAATCCATTTCTCGCTCAAATTTGATTTCGATGTGTAAAGTGGGAAAAATTTTTGTTAATTGTCTAGAAAACCCGTTTCTTTTGTTTCGGCCCGTAACCTTTGACACGATCACGTGATACGCCATTCGACTTGACGGTACGCGGGTGCCGGTTGTTCTTTTGTTTGTCTCTTCACCCACCACCACCCCTTTCTCCGCCTTGTTAATTATAAGTCTTACCTAGTGAGTTGTTTCACAATATAGTTTATGACGTTGGTGTTTGTTTCGGAAAAGTCACAAATTAAAGCTTTTCCCTTTTTCCGGCCAAATTGTGTCTGATTTGTCTCATTTTCCCCGGGTTTTTGTATGATAAATGCTATAATATGGTATGAAATTGGAACATACCGTCTGACACCTGTGCGCAAACGACTTTGGCAATCTCGCTAATCTTCGTGGCCAGGGCGTTGAAGTCGCTCAACTCGATCACATTGTTCCGGTTGTTGTTGGCGATCTGCAGGAGTTGCCCGTGATCGAAGTTGCCCACTCCGATGCTGTACACGGTAATTCCGCTCGCGGCAAGACTCTGAGATGGTCCCGACACAGAATCACCCGACTTCCCGTCTGTCAACACAATGATCACCTGTGGTATAAAGCAGATACACCCATGTCTTTTACGTCAAAAAGGTGTCAATGACTACCTATCTTCGGTTGGGGACGTAAAGCCAGAGGTCCTGTGTTTAAGGAGACCCACACCTTAAACTGAGCACGTGAAAAATCCTACCACACCGACAAGAGCAGGGGTCCTTCCCGGTGTAAGTGTTTCAAACCTTACAGTCTGGTCTTAGGTTTGACATCTCGAAGAGGTGATAGTCACCTGTTGTGTCCATCCTTCTACAAATTAAATGCGGTAAATCTTCACAGATGAATAAATAGAGCAAGTAACATATTTCGGTTCTTACTTTCGGGACGTTTCCTCCTTGCCTCCATGCGGCGTTCTCACGGACGAATTGCAGCGCAGCTCCTGTCTTCGTGCCGCCTTGCTGGTACGTGATGGCATTAATGGCGCTTATGGTAGACGGCTTGTCTGATTTTGCTCCCAAGTTAAACACCAGGCTGAGAAAAAAATAGTATAGAAAACGTTATTGCTAGTTTTAACCCTACCTAGACGGGGGAGGGGCTAAAAGTGCCCGCGGCAACTTTGATGTCACCTAGCGTCTGAACGGCTAGCCGTAGAACGGCCAAACTTGGTGACTTTTCCTAGAATATTGTTGGCAACAATTCTCTATCATTGGAATAAGATAATAATTTTTTGTGTTGCCATGGCAACGGGTTTCTGACAGGCATTTTTTGCTTAAATTTTAGTTACTTTTTTGTTTCAACAATAGTAATTTTATGGGTTTTATGTCAAGTTACTCATTGGTTTCTAATGTTAATAACATCCCATATAATTTTATGTAAATTTTATCATTAAATATGCATAATTTATGCTAATTTGATGACGTCATTGGCCAAAATCCAAGATGGCGGAACATATCATTAGAACAGGTATATACAGGTTATTTTCATTAAAATTTCATCAATACTTCCATTTCTTTTTCAAAAAAAGGTTTAAATGAAGGTCTTTAGTATGTTTACTATGTATTTTAGGCTTTATCATGAAAAAAAACTATTTTTGAAAATTCAAGATTGATGATCCAAGATGGCGGATATCTTAAATATGCATGACGTCATTTTATGACGTCACCGGTGTTGCTTTGGGCAACATAAGACTTAGTACACCATAATCTTCTGTCATAAACACTTTTGGTACAGTTATGTTGAATACCATTTAGTTTTCAGGGAAAAACCTATTTAGACGGTTTTGGCCAATAAAATCACATTAATGACGTCATAATGACGTCATAACGACATAAAAATTGTAGATATGATAAATTTTCACTAGTACACCATTCTCTGAAAATTTTTGGTGGTCATACGACATACCGTTCGCGAGTTCTTAGGGGGGGGTCAAAGAGCCCCCCCCCCAGTCCCCCCATGTCAAAAAAAGCCCGGTCTAGGTAGACTTAATACCGGGACTATTACCTTTCAAATGACACCAAATTTGACCTTCTGGTACGTCCGGAAAGCCCTAACCCTAATCCTACCTAAGGCTGCCCTTAAAACTTCAAACACTTATAAATCCCAAACCAAACAAGATAAATACAAACAGTTTGCGGAATTATAACGGGACTATTACCTTTCAAACGACACCAAATTTGACCTTCTGGTACGTCCGGAAAGCCCAAACCCTAACACTACCTTAAGGCTGCCCTTAAAACTTCAAACACTTATAAATCCAAAACCAAACAAGATAAATGCAAACGGTTTGCGGGAAATTATTACTGGGGCTTTTACCTACCAAACGACACCTAATTTGACCTTCTGATACGTCCGGAAAGCCCTAACCCTAATCCTACCTTAAGGCTGCCCTTAAAACTTCAAACACTTATAAATCCAAAACCAAACAAGATAAATGCAAACGGTTTTGCAGGAAATTATTCCTGGGGCTATTACCTTTCAAACGACACCAAATTTGACCTTCTGGTACGTCCGGAAAGCCCTAACCCTAATCCTACCTTAAGGCTGCCCTTAAAACTTCAAACACTTATAAATCCAAAACCAAACAAGATAAATGCAAACAGTTTGCGGACCTTTAATACCGGGACTATTACCTTTCGAATGACACCAAATTTGACCTTCTGGTACGTCCGGAAAGCCCTAACCCTAATCCTACCTCAAGGCTGCCCTTAAAACTTCAAACACTTATAAATCCAAAACCAAACAAGATAAATGCAAACAGTTTGCGACCTTCAATAACGGGACTATTACCTTTCGAATGACACCAAATTTGACCTTCTGGTACGTCCGAAAAGCCCTAACCCTACCTTAAGGCTGCCCTTAAAACTTCAAACACTTATAAATCCAAAAACAAACAAGACAAATGCAAACAGTTTGCGACCTTCAATAACGGGACTATTACCTTTCGAATAACACCAAATTTGACCTTCTGGTATGTCCGGAAAGCCCTAACCCTAATTCTACCTTAAGGCTGCCCTTAAAACTTCAAACACTTATAAATCCAAAACCAAACAAGACAAATGCAAACGGTTTGCGGATCTTTAATAACGGGACTATTACCT